GCTTGCCTGGTCCAGGAGCTTGCCTGGTCTAGGAGCTTGCCTGGTCCAGGAGCTTGCCTGGTCTAAGAGCTTGCCTGGTCCAGGAGCGTGCCTGGTCCAGGAGCTTGCCTGGTCGAGGAGCTTGCTTGGTCCACGAGCCTGACTGGTCCAAGAGCTTTCCTGGTCCAGGAGCGTGCATGGTTCACGAGCGTTCCTGGTCCAAGAGCTTGCCTGGTCTTAGAGCTTGCCTGGTCCAGGAGCTTGCCTGGTCCAAGAGCTTCCTTGGTCCAGAAGCCTGCCTGGTCCAAGAGCTTGCCTGGTCCAGGAGCGTGCCTTGTCCTAGAGCTTGCCTGGTCCAGGAGCTTCGGTGGTCGAGGAGCTTGCCAAGTCCAGGAGCTTGCCTGGTCCAGGAGCTTGCGTCGTCCAGGAGCTTGCCTGGTCCAGGAGCTTGCCTGGTCCAAGAGCTTGCGTCGTCCAGGAGGTTGCCTGGTCCAGGAGCTTGCCTGGTCTAGGAGCTTGCCTGGTTTAGGAGCTTGCCTGGTCCAAGAGCTTGCCTGGTTTAGGAGCTTGCCTGGTCCAAGAGCTTGCGTCGTCCAGGAGCTTGCCTGGTCCAGGAGCTTGCCTGGTCTAGGAGCTTGCCTGGTCCATCAGCTTGCCTGGTCCAAGAACGTGCCCGGTCCAGGAGCTTGCCTGCTCCAGGAGCTTGTCTGGTCCAAGAGCTTGCGTGGTCGAGGAGCTTGCCTGGTCCAGGAGCTTGCTTTGTCCAGGAGCTTGCCTGGTCCAAGAGCTTGCCTGGTCCAAGAGCTTGCGTGGTCCTAGAGCTTGCTTGGTCCAAGAGCTTGCCTGGTCCACGAGCTTGCCTGGGCCAGGAGCTTGCCTGATCCAAGAGCTTGCGTAGTCCAGGAGCTTTCCTGGTCCAAGAGCTTGCCGATCTAGGAGCTTGCCTGGTCGAAGAGCTTGCCTGGTCTAGGAGCTTGCCTGGTTGAGCAGCTTGCTTGGTCCAGGAGCGTGCGTGGTCAAGGAGCTTCCCTGATCCAAGAGCTTGCGTGGTCGAGGAGCTTGCCTGGTCCAGGAGCGTGCCTCGTCAAGGAGCTTGCCTGGTCCAAGAGCTTGCGTGGTCCAGGAGCTTTCCTGGTCCAGGAGCTTGCCTGGTCTAGGAGCTGGCCTGGTCCAAGAGCTTGTCTGGTCTAGGAGCTTGTCTGGTCCAAGAGCTTGCCCAGTCCAGGAGCGCGCCTGGTCATGGAGCTTGCCTGGTCCAAGAGCTTACGTTGTCGACGAGCTTACCTGGTCCTGGAGCTTGCCTTGTCCAGGAGCTTTGCCCGGTCAAGGAGCTTGCCTGGTCAAGGAGCTTGCCTGGTCCAGGAGCTTGCCTGGTCCAAGAACGTGCCCGGTCCAGGAGCTTGCCTGCTCCAGGAGCTTGTCTGGTCCAAGAGCTTGCGTGGTCGAGGAGCTTGCCTGGTCCAGGAGCTTGCTTTGTCCAGGAGCTTGCCTGGTCCAAGAGCTTGCCTGGTCCAAGAGCTTGCGTGGTCCTAGAGCTTGCCTGGTCCAAGAGCTTGCCTGGTCCACGAGCTTGCCTGGGCCAGGAGCTTGCCTGATCCAAGAGCTTGCGTGGTCCAGGAGCTTTCCTGGTCCAAGAGCTTGCCGATCTAGGAGCTTGCCTGGTCGAAGAGCTTGCCTGGTCTAGGAGCTTGCCTGGTTGAGCAGCTTGCTTGGTCCAGGAGCGTGCGTGGTCAAGGAGCTTCCCTGATCCAAGAGCTTGCGTGGTCGAGGAGCTTGCCTTGTCCAGGACAAGCCTCGTCAAGGAGCTTGCCTGGTCCAAGAGCTTGCGTGGTCCAGGAGCTTTCGTGGTCCAGGAGCTTGCCTGGTCTAGGAGCTGGCCTGGTCCAAGAGCTTGCCTGGTCTAGGAGCTTGTCTGGTCCAAGAGCTTGCCCAGTCCAGGAGCGCGCCTGGTCATGGAGCTTGCCTGGTCCAAGAGCTTACGTTGTCGACGACCTTACCTGGTCCTGGAGCTTGCCTTGTCCAGGAGCTTTGCCCGGTCAAGGAGCTTGCCTGGTCAAGGAGCTTGCCTGGTCCAGGAGCTTGCCTGGTCCAAGAACGTGCCCGGTCCAAGAGCTTGCCTGCTCCAGGAGCTTGTCTGGTCCAAGAGCTTGCGTGGTCGAGGAGCTTGCCTGGTCCAGGAGCTTGCTTTGTCCAGGAGCTTGCCTGGTCCAAGAGCTTGCCTGGTCCAAGAGCTTGCGTGGTCCTAGAGCTTGCCTGGTCCAAGAGCTTGCCTGGTCCACGAGCTTGCCTGGGCCAGGAGCTTGCCTGATCCAAGAGCTTGCGTGGTCCAGGAGCTTTCGTGGTCCAAGAGCTTGCCGATCTAGGAGCTTGCCTGGTCGAAGAGCTTGCCTGGTCTAGGAGCTTGCCTGGTTGAGCAGCTTGCTTGGTCAAGGAGCGTGCGTGGTCAAGGAGCTTCCCTGATCCAAGAGCTTGCGTTATCAAGGAGCTTGCCTGGTCCAGGAGCGTGCCTCGTCAAGGAGCTTGCCTGGTCCAAGAGCTTGCGTGGTCCAGGAGCTTTCCTAGTCCAGGAGCTTGCCTGGTCTAGGAGCTTGCCTGGTCCAAGAGCTTGCCTGGTCTAGGAGCTTGTCGGGTCCAAGAGCTTGCCCAGTCCATGAGCGCGCCTGGTCAAGGAGCTTGCCTGGTCCAAGAGCTTGCCTGGTCTAGGAGCTTGTCTGGTCCAAGAGCTTGCCCAGTCCAGGAGCGCGCCTGGTCCAAGAGCTTGCCTGGTCTAGGAGCTTGCCTAGTCTAGGAGCTTGCCTGGTCTAGGAGCTTGCCTGGTCCAAGAGCGTTCCTGGTCCACGAGTTTGCCTGGTCCAAAAGCTTTCCTGGTCCAGGAGCTTGCCTGTTCCACGAGCGTGCCTGGTCCAGGAGCTTGCCTTGTCCAGGAGCTTTCTTGGTCCGTTGGCTTGCCTGGTCCATGAGCTTGCCTGGTACAGGAGCTTTCCTGGTCCAAGAGCTTGTCTGGTCCAGCAGCTTGCCTGGTCTAGGAGCTTGCCTGGTCCAGGAGCTTGCCTGGTCCAAGAGCTTGCCTGGTCCAGGAGCGTGCCTGGTCCAGGAGCGTGCCTGGTCCAGGAGCTTGCCTGGTCCAGGAGCTTGCCTGGTCCACGAGCCTGCCTGGTCCAAGAGCTTGCCTGGTCCAGGAGCGTGCATGGTCCACGAGCGTTCCTGGTCCAGGAGCTTGCCTGGTCCAAGAGCTTGCCTAGTCCTGGAGCTTACCTGGTCCAAGAGCTTGCTTGGTCCAGAAGCCTGCCTGGTCCAAGAGCTTGCCTGGTCCAAAAGCGTGCCTTGTCCAAGAGCTTGCCTGGTCCAGAAGATTGCATGGTCGAGGAGCTTGCCTGGTCCAGGAGCTTGCCTGGTCCAAGAGCTTGCCTAATCAAAGAGCTTGCGTCGTACAGGAGCTTGCTTGGTCCAGGAGCTTGCCTGGTCTAGGAGCTTGCCTGGTCCATGAGCTTACCTAGTCCAAGAACGTGCCTAGTCTAGGAGCTTGCCTGCTCCAGGAGCTTGCCTGGTTCAAGAGCTTGCGTGGCCGAGGAGCTTGCCTTGTCCAGGAGCTTGCTTTGTCCAGGAGCTTGCCTGGTCCAAGAGCTTGCCTAGTCCAAGAGCTTGCGTGGTCCTGGAGCTTGCCTGGTCCAGGAGCTTGCCTGGTCCAAGAGCTTGCCTGGGCCTGGAGCTTGCCTGATCCAAGAGCTTGCGTGGTCCAAGAGCTTGCCTGGTCTAGGAGCTTGCCTGGTCTAGGAGCTTGCCAGGTCGAAGAGCTTGGCTGGTCTAGGAGCTTGCCTGGTCGAGCAGCTTGCTTGGTCCAGGAGCGTGCCTGGTCTAGGAGCTTGCCTGGTCCAAGAGCTTGCGTGGTCAAGGAGCTTGCCTGGTCCAAAAGCGTGCCTGGTCCAGGAGCTTGCCTGGTTTAAGAGCTTGCGTGGTCCAGGAGCTTTCCTGGTCGAGGAGCTTGCCTGGTCTAGGAGCTTGCCTGGTCCAAGAGCTTGCTTGGTTCCGAAGTCTGCCTGGTCCAAGAGCTTTTTGGTCCAAGAGCTTGCCTGGTCAAGGTGATTGCGTGGTCCAGGAGCTTGTTAAGTCCAAGAGCTTGCTTGGCCTAGAAGCCTGCCTGGTCCAGGAGCTTGCCTGGTCAAGGAGCTTTCATGGTCAAGGAGCTTGCCTAGTCCAGGAGATTGCCTGGTCCACGAGCCTGCCTGGTCCAAGAGCTTTCCTGGTCCAGGAGAGTGCATGGTCCACGAGCGTGCCTGGTCCTGTGGCTTGCCTGGTTCAGGAGCTAGCCTGGTCCAGGAGCTTGCCTGGTCCAAGAGCTTGCTCGGTCCAGAAGCTGCCTGGTCCAAGAGCTTGCCTGGTCCACGAGTGTGCCTGGTCCAAGAGTTTGCGTGGTCCAGGACCTTGCGTGGTCCAGGAGCTTGCCTGGTCCAGGAGCTTGCCTGGTCTAGGAGCTTGCCTGGTCCAAGTGCTTTCCTGGTCCAAGAGCTTGCGTGGTCCTGGAGCTTGCCTGGTTTAGGAGCTTGCCTGGTCTAGGAGCTTACCTGGTCCTGGAGCTTACCTGGTCCAGGAGCTTGCCTCGTCCACGCGTTTGCCTGGTCCAGAAGCTTGCCTGGTCCAGAAGCTTGCGTGGTCTAGGAGCTTGCATGGTCCAGGAGCGTGCCTGGTCCAGGAGCTTGCCTGGTCCAGGAGCTATCCTGGTCCAGGAGCTTGCCTTGTCCAGGAGCTTGCGTGGTCCTAGAGCTTGCCTGGTCCAAGATCTTGGTAGGTCCAAGAGCGTGCCCGGTCCAAGAGCTTGCCTGGTCTTGAAGTTTGCCTCGTCCAAGAGCTTGCCTGGTCCAGGAGCTTTCCTGGTCCAGGAGCTTGCCTGGTCCGGGAGCTTGCCAGTTCCAGGAGCTTGCCTGGTCCAGGAGCTTGCCTGGTCTAGGGGCGTGCCTGGTCCACGAGCTTGCATTGTCCAGGAGCTTGCCTGCTCTTGGAGCTTGCCTGGTCCAAGAGCTTGCCTAGTCCAAGTGCTTGCCTGGTCTAGGAGCATGCCTGGTCCAAGAGCTTGCGTGGTCCACGAGCTTGCCAGGTCCACGAGCTTGCCTGGTCCAGGAGCTTGCCCGGTCGAGGAGCGTGCTTGGTCCACAAGCCTGCTTGGTCCAGGAGCTTGCCTGGTCCAAGAGCTTGCCTGGTCCAGGAGCTTGCCTGGTCAAAGAGCTCACCTGGTCCACGAGCTTGCCTGGTCCAAGAGCTTGCCAAGTCCACGAGCTTGCCTGTTCCAGGAGCTTTTCTGGTCCAGGAGCTTGCCTGGTCCAGGAGCGTGCCTGGTCCACGAGCTTGCCTTGTCCAGGAGCTTGCTTGTTCCTGGAGCTTGCCTGGTCCAAGAGCTTGCCTGGTCCAAGAGCTTGCGTGGTCCAGGAGTTTGCCTGGTCCAGGAGCTTGCTTGGTCCAGGAGCGCATGGTCCACAAGCTTCCGTGGTCAAGGAGCTAGCCTGATCCAGGAGCTTGCGTGGTCCAAGAGCTTGCCTGGTCCACGAGCTTGCCTGGTCCACGAGCCTGCCTGGTCCAAGAGCTTGCCACGTCCACGACAATGTCCACGTCCACGTCCACGTCCACGACAATGTCGACGTCCACGTCCACGTCCACGTCCATGTCCACGTCCACGTCCACGTACACGACCACGTCCATGTCCACGTCCATGTCCACGTCCACGTCCATGTCCACGTCCACGTCCACGTCCATGTCCACGTCCATGTCCACGTCCACGTCCACGTACACGACCACGTCCACGTCCAAGTCGTCCACGTCCACGTCCACGTCCACGTCCACGTCCACGTCTACGTCCACGTCCACGTCCAAGTCCACGTCCACGTCCATGTCCACGTCCACGTCCACGTCCACCTCCATCTCCACGTCCAAGTCCTCCACGTCCATCTCCACGTCCAGGTCCACGTCCACGTCCACGTCCACGTACACGTCCACGTCCACGTCCACGTCCACGTCTACGTCCACGTCCACGTCCACGTCCACGTCCATGTCCACGTCCACGTCCACGTCCACGTCCACATCCATCTCCACGTCCAAGTCCTCCACGTCCATCTCCACGTCCAGGTCCACGTCCACGTCCACGTCCACGTCCATGTCCACGTCCACGTCCACGTCCACGTCCACGACCACGTCCACGTCCACGTATACGTCCACGTCCACGACAATGTCCACGTCCACGTCCACGTCCACGACAATGTCGACGTCCACGTCCACGTCCACGTCCATGTCCACGTCCACGTCCACGTCCATGTCCATGTCCACGTCCATGTCCACGTCCATGTCCACGTCCATGTCCACGTCCACGTCCACGTCCACGTCCATGTCCATGTCCACGTCCACGTCCACGTCCACGTCCAAGTCCTCCACGTTAAAGTCCTCTACGTCCATGTCCACGTCCACGTCCACGTCCACGTCCATGTCCACGTCCAAGTCCTCCACGTCTACGTCCACGTCCACGTCCACGTCCACGTCCATGTCCACGTCCACGTCCACGTCCACGTCCACGTCCAAGTCCTCCACGTCAAAGTCCTCTACGTCCATGTCCACGTCCACGTCCACGTCCACGTCCATGTCCACGTCCAAGTCCTCCACGTCTACGTCCACGTCCACGTCCACGTCCACGTCCGTGTCCACGTCCATGTCCACGTCCACGTCCACGTCCACGTCCATGTCCACGTCCACGTCCACATCCACGTCCATGTCCACGTCCAAGTCCTCCACGTCCACATCCACGTCCATGTCCACGTCCACGTCCACGTCCATGTCCACGTCCACGTCCACGTCCACGTCCACGACCACGTCCACGACAATGTCCACGTCCACGACAATGTCCACGTCCACGTCCACGTCTACGTCCACGTCCACGACAATGTCCACGTTTACGTCCACGTCCACGACAATGTCCACGTCCACGTCCACGTCCACGTCCACGTCCATGTCCATGTCCACGTCCATGTCCACGTCCATGTCCACGTCCATGTCCATGTCCACGTCCACGTCCACGACCACGTCCACGTCCACGTCCATGTCCATGTCCACGTCCATGTCAACGTCCACGTCCACGTCCACATCCACGTCCACGTCCACGTCCATGTCCACGTCCAAGTCCTCCACGTCCATGTCCACGTCCATGTCCACGTCCACATCCACGTCCATGTCCACGTCCACGTCCACGTCCACGTCCACGACCACGTCCACGTCCACGTCTACGTCCACGTCCACGACAATGTCCACGTTCACGTCCACGTCCACGACAATGGCCACGTCCACGTCCACGTCCACGTCCACGTCCACGTCCAGGTCCACGTCCATGTCCACGTCCATGTCCACGTCCATGTCCATGTCCACGTCCATGTCCATGTCAACGTCCACGTCCACATCCAAGCCACGTCCACGTCCACGTCCACGTCCATGTCCATGCCACCTCTACGTCCACATCCATGTCCATGTCCACGTCCACATCCACGTCCACGTCCATGTCCACGTCCAGGTTTATGTCCACGTCCACGTCCACGTCCATGTCCACGTCCACGTCCATGTCCACGTCCATGTCCACGTCCACGTCCATGTCTACGTCCATGTCCACGTCCATGTCCAGGAGCTTGCCTAGACCAGGAGCTTGCCTGGTCCAAGAGCGTGCCTGGTCCAGAAGCGTGCCTGGTCCAGGAGCTTGCCTTGTCCAGGAGCTTGCCTGGTCCAGGAGCTTGCCTTGTCCAGGAGCGTGCCTGGTCCTGGTTTGCGCCTGGTCCAGGAGCTTGCTTGGTCCAGAAGCTTGCCTGGTCCAAGAGCTTGCCTGGTTCAGGAGCGTGCCCAGTCCAAGAGCTTGCCTGGTCTAGGAGCTTGCCTCGTCCAGTAGCGTGCTTGGTCCAGGAGCTTGCCTTGTCGAAGAGCTTGCCTGGTCCAGGAGCTTGCCTGGTCTAGGAGCGTGCCTCGTCCAGGAGTGTGCCTGGTCCAAGAGCTTGCTTGTTCCAGAAGCTTGCCTGGTCCAAGAGCTTGCCTGGTTCCAGAAGCCTGCCTGGTCCAAGAGCTTGCTTGGTCTAGGAGCTTGCGTGGTCAAGGAGCTTGCCTAGTCCAGGAGATTGCCTGGTCCATGAGCTTGCCTGGTCCACGAGCCTGCCTGGTCCAAGAGCTTGCCTGGTCCAGGAGCGTGCATGGTTCACAAGCGTGCCTAGTCCAGGATCTTGCCTGGTCCAGGAGCTAGCCTGGTCCAAGAGCTTGCCTGGTCCAACAGCTTGCTTGGTCTAGAAGCCTGCCTGGTCCAAGAGCTTGCGTGGTCCATGAACTTGCGTGGTCCAGGAGCTCGCCTGGTCTAGGAGCTTGCCTGGTCTAGGAGTTTGCCTGGTCCAAGAGCTTGCCTAGTACAAGAGCTTGCGTGGTCCAGGAGCTTGCCTGGTCCAAGAGCTTACCTTGTCTAGGTGCTTGCCTGGTCCAGGAGCGTGCCTGGTCCAGGAGCATGCCTGGTCCACGAGTTTGCTTGGTCCAAAAGCTTGCCTGGTCCAGGAGCTTGCCTGGTGTAGGAGCTTGCATGGTCCTGGAGCGTGCTTGGTACAGGAGCATGCCTGGTCTAGGAGTTATCCTGGTCCAGGAGCTTGCCTCGTCCAGGAGCTTGCCTGGTCCTAGAGCTTGCGTGGTCCAAGATCTTGCTTGGTCAAAGAGCGTGCCTGGTCTAAGAGCTTGCCTGGTCCTGAAGTTTGCCTCCTCCAGGAGTTTGCCTGCTCCAGGAGCTTGCGTGGTCCAGGAGCTTGCCTGGTCCACGAGCTTGCCTTGTCCAGGAGCTTACCTGTTCGAGGAGCGTGCCTGGTCCAGGAGCTTGCTTGGTCTAGGAGCTTGCATGGTCCATGAGCGTGCCTGGTCCAGGAGCTTGCCTGGTCCAGGAGCTATCCTAGTCCAGGAGCTTGCCATGTCTAGGAGCTTGCCTGGTCCTAGAGCTTGCCTCGTCCAAGATCTTGCTTGGTCAAAGAGCGTGCATGGTCCAAGAGCTTGCGTGGTCCCGAAGTTTGCCTCGTCCAAGAGCTTGCCTGGTCCAAGAGCTTGCCTGGTCCAGGAGCTTGCGTGGTCCAGGAGCTTGCCTGGTCCACGAGCTTGCCTCATCTAGGACCTTGCCTGGTCCTGGAGCGTGCCTGGTCCACGAGTTTGCCTGGTCCAGGAGCTTGCCTGGTCTAGGAGCTTGCCTGTTCCACAAGCGTGCCTGGTCCATGAGCTTGCCTTGTCCAGGAGCTTTCTTGCCTGGTCCAGGAGCTTGCCTGGTCCAGGAGCTTGCCTGGTCTAGGAGCTCGCCTGGTCTAGGAGCTTTCCTGGTCCAAGAGCTTGCCTAGTCACGGAGCTTGCCTGGTCTTTGAGCTTGCCTGGTCCACGAGCTTGCCTGGTCACGGAGCTTGCCTGGTCCACGAGCTTGCCTGGTCCAAGAGCGTGCCTCGTCCAGGAGCGTGCCTGGTCCACGAGCGAGCCTGGTCCAGGAGCTTGCGTGGTCCAGGAGCTTGCGTGGTTTAGGAGCTTGCCTGGTCCACAAGCCTGCGTGGTCCAAGAGCTTGCCTGGTCTAGGAGCGTGCGTGGTCCACGAGCGTGCCTGGTCTTGGACCTTGCCTGGACCAGGAGCTTGCCTGATCAAGGAGCTTGCCTGGTCCAGGAGCTTGCTCGGTCCACGAGCTTGCCTGGTCCAGGAGCTTGCCTGGTCCAATAGCTTCCCTGGTCCACGAGCTTGCCTGGTCCAAGCGCTTGGTCCTGAAGCCTGCCAGGTCCAAGAGCTTGCCTCGTCCAAGAGCGTGCATGGTCCAAGAGATTGGGTTGTCCAAGAGCTTGCCTGGTCCAGGAGCTTGCCGGGTCCAAGAGCTTGCCTGGTCCAAGAGCTTGCGTGGTCCAGGAGCTTGCCTGGTCCAGGAGCTTGCCTGGTCCAGGAGCTTGCCTGGTCCAAGAGCTTGCCTCGTCCAAGAGCTTGCGTGGTCTAGGAGCTTGCCTGAGGAGCTATCCTGGTCCAGGAGCTTGCTTGGTCCAGGAGCTTGCCTGTTCCACGAGCGTGCCTAGTCTAGGAGCTTGCCTTGTCCAGGAGCTTTCTTGGTCCATTAGCTTGCCTAGTCCAAGAGCTTGCCTGGTCCAGGAGCTTTCCTGGTCCAAGAGCGTGCCTGGTCCAGGAGCGTGCTTGGTCCACAAGCTTGCCTGGTCCAAGAGCTTGCCTTGTCTAGGAGCTTGCTTGGTCCAGGAGCTTGCCTGGTCCACGAGCCTGCCAGGTCCAAGAGCTTGCCTGGTCCAAGAGCATGCATGGTCCACGAGCGTGCCTGGTCCAGGAGCTTGCGTGGTCTAGGAGCTTGCCTGGTCCAGGAGCTTGCCTGGTCCAGGAGCTTGCCTGGTCCAGGAGCTTGCCTGTTCCAAGAGCTTGCTTGGTCCAGAAGCTTGCCTGGTCCAAGAGCTTGCGTGGTCCAAGAGCGTGCCTGGTCCAAGAGCTTGCGTGGTCTAGGCGCTTGCCCGGTCAAGGAGCTTGCCTCGTCCAGGAGCTTGCCTGGTCCAAGAGCTTGCCTGGTTTAGGAGCTTGCGTGGTCCATGAACTTGCCTGGTCCAAGAGCTTGCCTGGTCTTGGAGCTTGCCTGGTCTAGGAGCTTGCCTGGTCCAGGAGTTTGGCTGGTCCAGAAGCTTGCCTGGTCCAGGAGCTTGCCTGTTCCACGAGTGTGCCTGGTCCAGGAGCTTGCCTTGTCCAGGAGCTTTCTTGGTCCGTTAGCTTGCCTGGTCCATGAGCTTGCCTGGTACAGGAGCTTTCCTGGTCCAAGAGCTTGCCTGGTCCTGGAGCTTGCCTGGTCTAGGAGCTTGCCTGGTCCAGGAGCTTGCCTGGTCTAAGAGCTTGCCTGGTCCAGGAGCGTGCCTGGTCCAGGAGCTTGCCTGGTCGAGGAGCTTGCTTGGTCCACGAGCCTGCCTGGTCCAAGAGCTTTCCGGGTCCAGGAGCGTGCATGGTTCACGAGCGTTCCTGGTCCAAGAGCTTGCCTGGTCTTAGAGCTTGCCTGGTCCAGGAGCTTGCTTGGTCAAAGAGCTTCCTTGGTCCAGAAGCCTTCCTGGTCCAAGAGCTTGCCTGGTCCAGGAGCGTGCCTTGTCCAAGAGCTTGCCTGGTCCAGGAGCTTCGGTGGTCGAGGAGCTTGCCAAGTCCAGGAGCTTGCCTGGTCCAGGAGCTTGCGTCGTCCAGGAGCTTGCCTGGTCCAGGAGCTTGCCTGGTCCAAGAGCTTGCGTCGTCCAGGAGCTTGCCTGGTCCAGGAGCTTGCCTGGTCTAGGAGCTTGCCTGGTTTAGGAGCTTGCCTGGTCCAAGAGCTTGCCTGGTTTAGGAGCTTGCCTGGTCCAAGAGCTTGCGTCGTCCAGGAGCTTGCCTGGTCCAGGAGCTTGCCTGGTCTAGGAGCTTGCCTGGTCCATCAGCTTCCCTGGTCCAAGAACGTGCCCGGTCCAGGAGCTTGCCTGCTCCAGGAGCTTGTCTGGTCCAAGAGCTTGCGTGGTCGAGGAGCTTGCCTGGTCCAGGAGCTTGCTTTGTCCAGGAGCTTGCCTGGTCCAAGAGCTTGCCTGGTCCAAGAGCTTGCGTGGTCCTAGAGCTTGCCTGGTCCAAGAGCTTCCCTGGTCCACGAGCTTGCCTGGGCCAGGAGCTTGCCTGATCCAAGAGCTTGCGTGGTCCAGGAGCTTTCCTGGTCCAAGAGCTTGCCAATCTAGGAGCTTGCCTAGTCGAAGAGCTTGCCTGGTCTAGGAGCTTGCCTGGTTGAGCAGCTTGCTTGGTCCAGGAGCGTGCGTGGTCAAGGAGCTTCCCTGATCCAAGAGCTTGCGTGGTCGAGGAGCTTGCCTGGTCCAGGAGCGTGCCTCGTCAAGGAGCTTGCCTGGTCCAAGAGCTTGCGTGGTCCAGGAGCTTTCCTGGTCCAGGAGCTTGCCTGGTCTAGGAGCTTGCCTGGTCCAAGAGCTTGCCTGGTCTAGGATCTTGTCTGGTCCAAGAGCTTGCCCAGTCCAGGAGCGCGCCTGGTCAAGGAGCTTGCCTGGTCCAAGAGCTTGCCTGGTCTAGGAGCTTGTCTGGTCCAAGAGCTTGCCCAGTCCAGGAGCGCGCCTGGTCCAGGAGCTTGCCTGGTCTAGGAGCTTGCCTAGTCTAGGAGCTTGCCTGGTCTAGGAGCTTGCCTGGTCTAGGAGCTTGCCTGGTCTAGGAGCTTGCCTGGTCCAGAAGCTTGCCTGGTCTAGGAGCTTGCCTGTTCCACGAGCGTGCCTGGTCCAGGAGCTTGCCTTGTCCAGGAGCTTTCTTGGTTCGTTGGCTTGCCTGGTCCATGAGCTTGCCTGGTACAGGAGCTTTCCTGGTCCAAGAGCTTGTCTGGTCCAGCAGCTTGCCTGGTTTAGGAGCTTGCCTGGTCCAGGAGCTT